GGGTGTGGTGGTTGGGGTGAATTTTTAATAAGGCAACCCCAAGAAAGACAAAACAGAAAAATTGCGTTGGATCTCTTAAACCATATTATTTTTAGTAGGCCTTTGCAAGCGAGTGTTGGGCTGTACCCAAATTGATACATTTTAAAGCATTATATTGAGAAACCGTTTTCTATTTTGAAAGAAAAAATATCATAAATTAATTTTATTTGTTTGCTCATTTCTTTTTCTTGTGGCCCAAGATTGATTAACCATTATGTTAGCCTGTAGCTCGATTTTTTTATCAGATCAATTTTTATCCCTTGTTTCCCAGGAAGTCGCACAAAGTAAAGTTCTCTTCCATTTCAAGAATGTGATTGGTTTTTGAGTGGACACAATATTCATCAATACATGTAATTTACAACAATCACACCAAGCATTCACAAACACAAGAGTTGTCGGTTCTTGTTTGCTGTCTGGAAAGTCATCCAATACAAGACGTCGCCCCAGAATCCATCATGTACCAGGGGTGTCGAGAGTATGCCTTCACACTGTAATTTTCTTCAAGCACAGTCTGCAAAACGCGAATATTTTCTTAACTCTAACTTCGTCCGTCTTCTTTTCTATCCACTCCCGTTATGTCTATGGAGACAAGCGACGTCAAGTTCACCAACAATAGACCAAGTTCTCAAAGTTGCTTTCGTCTGAGCAGTGAAAGACACCACTGCATAGAAACATGTCGTTGTCTTATCTCGTCGGTTGTCCGCATTTTTCAGAGTGAGTTCCGCCGACTTGAACCCCAAAACCGTACCTGTGACAAAATAAAAGACAAGCGTTTGTAGATTTCTCGTATTAGTGAAAGTGTCTTTACAATACTCTACATGGATGGTCAACGCCGTTGGTGGGTCCTTCTTCTTCGAACCACAAATGAAATACGCGTCTGGCTCAATTTAGACAACGCATAAAAGCGTAAAGTTGCAATAACAGCGTGAATAAAGAAGAATCCCTTTGAAAGGGTCTCTTGGGCTCAAGTATATACATATAAGAGAACGATATGGGGGGGAAGAAGGAACAAAAGTAAAGAAAGCCCATTTATTCCTGTTTTCTTTGAGAAATTAAGTCATGTTGCACCGCAATAGTACAACTACCTATACTTAACACATATATTCTTATAAACCGAAAAAGTGTGGACAAATTGAAATATCATTATACAGTGTTTTTTTGGTGACACAAGTCATATTGCGAAAGGAAAGAAACGTGTCGGTTATGATAAAACAATACGTTATTAAAATACAAATTCAAATTTGTATGGTTTTCTTTTATTTTACGCAGCGTAAAGAAAATTATTAGTTAACGTGGAGGTAAGTTTCCACTTGTGTCCCTTTTTTCTTTCCTCCCATTTACTTCAGGATGAATTGATTCATACTTTCTCTCTTTGTTGTAAAAACAAACTACTTTCTCTTTTCACTCACTGCTTTTTTATTTATACATATACGAGGGCTGTCCCACGGAAAACCGGAATTTGGCTGTAATTTGAAAACTATTCAATATTTTCACATTCTGTAAACGCATATTTGTAAAACAATCATTTAGGAATTTCACAATTGAGCACCATGAGCATCGCACAAACCAAACGAACACAGCAGTTCTCCAAAGATGGCTATCCCCTTGGAAAATTGGTCAAGGGTAGAAGTGAGGTCTGTCATTCAGTTTCTGACCGCAAAAGGTCTCAAACCTACAGAAATACACACTGGAATAAAGTCAGTTTACGGGGTGAAAGTAATGGCAAAGTCACAGGTATATGAATATGAGTGGTGCAGTAAATTCAAAACCGGGCATACGGATGTCAATGACAAATTCATGCAGGACCTTGTTTTTCTGCCAAGACTGAGGACAACATCAACAAGAGTCGCGTTAACAAACTCATTCAAACAGACAGGCGCCTAAAAATTCACGAAATTTCCGAGTCGCTAAACATTTCAAAGTCAACTGTCCATAGGATAGTGTTTGAAGAGCTGCACTATCGAAAGATGTCTGCTCGATGGTTCCCAACAGAGCTGACAGCTGACCACAAGACGCAACTTGTTGAAGTGTCTCAGACTTTGTTTGTTGAATCGTTGTCGCCAAGGTACCACGGGAGTCATGAACGCATCTAGAGACCTCCAACAATACGATGAAGCATTCCTGAGAAGCATTATTACAGGTGATGAGACTTGGATACACCACATGACCCCTGAGACGAAGAGGGATTCAATGGTTTGGAAGCACACGTCTTCACCTCCCGCGAAAAAGTTTAAAGTTCTGCCATCGGTGAA